GATTTTTCATTTATTCAGGCTGTTGTGGATATTTAGTTCTTACTATCTCTGAATTAGATTAAGACAACAGCCCACTTAACACTAAATTGCTTTTTATTGATGTACAAATGTAAATAGAAAATTAAAAAGAGCTGGTAGCTTTTCCGTAATGTCCAATGAATTTAATTTACAAACTATTAAAAACATTCTAAATAATTTACGATTTCTGTGATATTCTTGAAAATGGGCAAACATAGTGATTTTCGAATTAGTTCCCTCCATAAAGTAGTATAGATGCGTGACGAATTTTGCAGTACTTAAACAGAAAAACTGAAAAATAGTTTAAAGAGTTTATATGGTTTTGGGGGACGCTGTCACAAAATTACAGAGTGACATTTGTATGGATCTTTAACCATGTTTCAAGAGTCATAACTTGATCCCTGTTCAACTTTAGAGCACCAAACCTGCTCAACCAACCAATCTCAACATGACCTTTTATATGGTGGTGTCAGTTTATCGATTAGTTTAAATTTGAAACTTGCCCCAGTTCCCTATGCAACTCCAAAATGGCCAATGAGTAGCTGGTCAGGGGTTTTGTACTGCTGAGCATGCTCAGAACAGTTTGTAAGCATGCTTTTTGAGGAAAAGCACTGACCATCATTGTTTCTTCCGCAAACTTGAATGGGTATTATTTATTTAACTAGAATTTGTAATATAATGTGTAGTGAACAATGTGCAATTTTATTGCAAATTTACATTTTATCTGTCTTTAAGTCAGACTGAATGACAAAATATGATAATTTCAGTAGCTAAATCAGTTTTGTAAAAAACAAAATAATATCCTCACTACCGAGAACGTTTTTTTTTTTCTCACAACATTTACTTGAGATGTAATAAAATTAATTTGGAAATTATATTAAGAAGTCAGTATAGCAGAAAAAAATCTGACTGGTATTGCATGATACTAGGTCTCAGCAGGAGATTATAGCGGAGCTCCCGCGCGCGCGCAGCGGAGCACCATGGGTAAGAAAATTTGGTAAACTATCCATCCCAGAAAATTTGGTTATGACGTAGCGTACGTCCGTCCGTACGGACTTTCCGGGTAGTGGAAAGTAGTCCGCATGGACTCTTGGGGTAGGGGAAAGTAGAGATTTTTTGGCGGGAAATCGCATGGCGCAACGTCGCGCAATTATATCTCGCAACCAGGTTTTGAAAAAAAGAAAGCAAGTAGAAAGAGTCAGAGCGAGAAGAAGGAGAGAAAATTATAGTGAAAAACGCCGGCAAGCAGAACGAGACAGAGCTAGAATGAACAGACAAAGGCAACGCGAAAAAGAAATATAAAGGCAAAGAGAACGGCAGCAAAATAATGACATGATGACAGAAAGTGTTGTGTTAATGTCACTATGGCCCCGCGCTATTAACATTTTGATTTCAAACTGATCTCGGACTCGAAAATTCAGCCAGTCATTTAAAAATACAAACAGGGAAGACAGAGGCTTTTCACTTTTCTCACCATAGTCACGCGTTGATCACGCTCTACGACCGTCCAATTTTTATGCTCTGATTGGTCAAAATTTGACAGGTGAGTTCATGCAGAAACTGATTTATACAGCATCTTCAACCTTGTTCACTTTCAGTTTGACAGCTGAAGCTGACAGAGTATTTTGTCAACTTGTGATGTTTTTTACTGTCTTTTTCCACTGGATGCTTAAAATGAAATACAGCTGCTATCAACAGTCTTCTTTGATTCATGGCTGCTTTGTTTATTGAATTTTTGGTCGGGAAATGCACCGGTTGCCAAAGTTGGAAATCCGATTTCGGATGCATCGCTTTCGTTTTTACCTTGCTGGATGCGGGTTGAAAAGTCCCTCAAGCGATTCTGGCCTTACTTTATAGCTTTCAAGAGCTGCATCTCGAATGGTAAGCCTAAGTAATTATTGTATACAGTGTATGTTTGTTTTTTTATATCTAATTTCATGAAGTCGAGCGCAGTTTATGAGGCTAATTTATGCACGTTTGTATTAAGATCTGAGACAATGATCTGATCTAGTATATATAAGCTTACAGAACTTTAAAAAGCCTTTAGTCGATATTTTCTCTCCGCATATAGAACGAAAAAACGTTCCGAAGAGTATTTAGTTATAATCTTGGCTGTAGAAAGAAAGCTTTGAGCGATTTTCTTGCCCCGAGTTCATCTTTGAAAACAGTAAACACCAGGAAGCCGGCTAAAAGCTTTAAGCTTAGGCTTAAAGACTCAGGATTTTTAGAGACGCTTTAATACTTGTCTTCGTGAATGAAAATTGTTGTCTCTGTAAATATTTCACCGAATTACATTTCTTTTATTGATTGTTAATAGTCTCTTACAATTTTAATCGCTTTGCCGTTTGTTTTCAGTCGTTCATAAACAACGCTTGCAGGAGTACTCAAAATGCTGCTCGTATCAAACGCTTTTTAAGATTACACATCGTTATAAAACCATTTAATTAAAAAAAATAAACACAATAAATTCTTTATTATGTTGAAGCGTAACTCTTTTAATGTTCACTGAAAATTTGACGCTTGTCAAAAGTGAGAACCGGCTGGCCGTATATGTGATTTTGGAAATTTTTTGAACGGTTTTGCTAAAAGCCCACGCGTGCTACGTACGTTTCTGAATATTGAATGAGTGCAATTTGTCTTGAAAAATTGTGAAATACTGCATTTTGTCTGAGGTCTATATGATGAAAACAACGCCTCATATTACTCTTTCAGATGTGATGTACAAAAAGTATGAAATGTTGGTTTACACGCTCCCAGAGTTGTTGGCAAGATTTTGTTAAGTAAACTTGTCGATCGCAAAAAATTCGGCCTGATTTGTTTTCCAAAAATTCGTTTTCCAGGCCTAATCTACTGTGATCAAGAGCCATTACGGCTCTAAAATGCGATCGAAGATAATTGCTATTTTTTGGGTGTATATATACGGCTATCAATTCGATGTAAGATTTTTTTTACTCTAAAATCACTTAGCCTTAGCTTTCCCTTAAAGTTAACTGATTTGTGGATTACAAGTTTATTGTTTGATTTAAATTATAAATTTATTAATGGTAGCTTCGCTTTTAGCCCTGGCTAAATCTATATATTATAGTATTATAATAGAACATAAATAAAGTAAATGATAATTTCACAGCTTCATTTTAAACAGGTAACTACAGAACAAATGGACATAGCCTTAGTCAGTAACACTGACTAGGAAGTGAATGATAAAAAAATGTGTTCCTAAAAATGCAATATCCGCAACAATTTTGTGTAATGTCCGCAACACAAACTTTTGTTTGTAGAATCACTGGAACAAGGTTGCATGGAGTTTTTCTTTGACAGTTGAAAAATCTAATTATTGTTATGTTTTGAAGGCACAATTATTTTCTGCTCAAGGTCAAAAATTCACAGGAAAATCTCTTTAAAGAAAGTTACTTTAAAAAGTGGTTGTTTAAACTGTAATGTCCGCAACACACTTTCTTCAGCTCATACCTTCAAGGTCTTAAGAGGCCGTGACTGTAAATATCGAGAATCCGCCGAGAGCTGCAAAATTTCATAATTTGTTTTATTCTACCTAAAAGACCCTTTTGGTGAACTATTTTCAAAAATGGAAATAAAAAGTTTTATCGCGCTTTGCTTTTTCCGAAAAATCCAAAAGTTCAAATTACGCCGAGGCGGCCCCCGACCCCCCGGAAAACCAATGACACACTTGTCCATACATTACTAACGGCCTAACAAGTTATAACTTTTACTCTACAGGTGAAACACGCTCCATCACCTCACACATTACTTGTAACACTAAAAATTTTATCTACATGGTTCAATGTAACCGTTGTAATTTACAATATATAGGTGAAACTAAGCGACGTCTCAAGGACAGATTTAACGAACACAGACGTGCAGTCGACAAAACTAACATTAAATCTAAACCCACTACTGTTTCTGAACACTTTCTCTCTCACTCTAACCATTCTCTTACTGACATGCAGTTAATCCCACTAGAAAAAATTAATTCTTCACGTGACTCAGTTCGTAAGGCCAGGGAGTCGCATTTGATAGATAAGGCCATGACTCTTGAACCTCAGGGCCTAAACCGCCGTGACGAATTATTGTAATCCATATCCTTAGTATTTTTCCTTTCCAGTTTTTATGTTGTACGTCATTTCCGCCTCTCCCTTTTATTGCGACATTCTCCATCTATATAATATTGTGATTGCTACATAAGTTCAGTAACATCTGTAAACCTGAAGAAGGCTGGTATGGCCAGCCGAAATATTGTTATAAAAAACAATACACGTTGTTTTAAATCAGCTTTGCTGTAGTCTTCGGACTTCTCGTTGTTATTCTTAATATTTTGGCTGATTTGATCTCTTCTCTAGAGATCCAACGTTTACAACTAGCAGGATCTTCGTCCACGGTTTTTGCAGTTAATTTAATCCTTACGTACGTACGTACGCTCGGTCAATCATGTGACAACCAAACGAAAAGAGGTTGACCATATTCCATGAGTATGGGGCTCTGTCCCACGAGCGCTTCGCGCGCGGGAGCCCCACTATGATAGCGGCGACATATGTAAGTCAAGATTGGCTTAGAATGGCGATATTGTAGACCTTCTGCCGGCGTTGTAAGTGAGCTTTTACACTCGAAATGTTATACTAGCCTAGCTATTAGCCTGTGCCGGTCTATTTTGGAAGGGTTCGGCGAGAACCGCCCCTACAAAGTAAGATTATGCAGCATCTAACATACAACCTGCGACAACAAATATTCGCTGGCTTTTACCCTTCACAGGTCAACTTACAGCAACTAAAGAAATTATTACAGTGGGCTAAGATAGAAAAATACGGACCGCGTGAAGAAGCAATAAATTTTAGCTTGAAGTTGTTAGTAAGAATTTCATTTAATAAGAAGACGGACAATTTGTCATATGTTTGTGTTAGCTTAACTGACACCGATGGCACGTTTCGTTGATGTTTCGATTTAAATCACTCACTCATTTCATCATAGGCGTTCCACTCAAACAGGAACCTCCTGGGGTAAAAAAAAAACCGTGTGGAGCATTTCAAGTTACTTGGAATCCACCATCCCTAGACTCTGGTGGCGGTCCTCTCACTGGTTATCAGGTTCAGTTAAAGTTAAGAAAGGGAAATGGTGGCTGGCGCAACTGCACGGCCTTCTTTTCAAATCACAGCTGTTTGTTCACAGACCTGCGTAGTAAGACAGAGTATGACGTTCGAGTTCGAGCTTTTAATCAGAACGGGCCAAGCCAATGGACCTACACTTTAGAAACCACGGATTTAATTGGTAAGTCTTTCATCTTAATACTGTTGTTGTATTACATGTTCTTTTACAGCACTCTTTTAGCTTTCTTTCTACTTTTATTAAATCCATGCTTCCATCCTTCCTCAACATTCCCCCTTCTTTTTGCAAAATGGTTGCATTCATTTTCTAACTGTAATGTTGACCTTTGAGCGTGTTCATTTATATTTTCACTCCTTTGCTTTTTCAATAACAAACTAATCGTTTAGTTTTGTGGAGATAATTAATTTATTACTTTATTATAGGACCGCCTGGTGTTTCCGAAATATTAAACGATCGAACAGAAATTACTGGCATAACACCCAATGTAACAGTGCAGTGGACACGCCCAGAAGAAAGAAACTGCAGCATCACTATGTATTCATTGCGCTACAAAGCGGTTGAACCAGTTGCCGAGAAAATGACGGAAATAAATATCACAAACGCCAGTGTCACAAGTTTCGAACTACAGTTCCAACACAGTAAGAAGTATGAAGTCACGGTCTTTGCTTGGAATAGCCTGGGACGCAGTGAGGCAAGCAAAGCATGGGAAGTGAGAACAGCACAATGTAAAGATACTTTCTTTGATTAAATAGTTGATATAGAGAGCAATACATTTGTGCTGCTTCTTGGACGTCTGTGTTTGATCGTGTGCGGCCGTCATTCTTTCCAGACGTCGAAAACCTTACCTGCTTCGGAATATGAATATATATATTTTTACGTTATTTTTTCTGACATACAAGCAAATTCTTATCCCTTCTGGTTTTTATTTTTGAAAGATGATTAGTCATACGTTCATAATTTGTCACCCCGTGTATATCTTAAAATTATACCATATAGTTTTCTTAGCCAGGGGCGTAACTATATTTCTCAAGGTATTGCCACTGGTTTTCACATAATGTTATCGAAATTGAAACTAAAGAATCATCTTTCATCCTGAGTTTTTACTTCAATGAAGTATTAGAGAAGCTAAAAAAACTATATTTGTGCGCATTTTCACTGCGAAAGGGTTTTTCATTTTGTGATAGACTACGCTTGAATTTCTAAGCTTTTGCAAAAAGCAACATTTACATGGCGGCTGAGAGGGCGCTTTTCATGTACGGTTAACGATGAGGTCACTTATTTTGGGGGATTTTGCTATCTGAACAGTCGTTCATAGAAAATGAATAACTTTAATGTTTATTACTTCTTCTGGAAATGAGATTATAGTCCAGCAAGAGAGAATAAAGGGGACAGAGAAGGCATCCCCCATGCACACCCTATTCCATAGGTAATTCGTCTCGAGTTACAGTTATTTTTAGAATCGGGATAAAGTTACCTCGCGCGCTGCGTGGAGGTTTCGCATCAGGGCGGATAAAGGTTGGGCGGTGAAACGAGCGCTCCGCTCTTCATTTAATGTGTGATGCGGAGAAGGACTGGCACGAGCGCTCTTTCCATGCTTCCGGTGCGCTTGAAGGCCGGCTAAATTTTCCTTTTTGCAAACCGGAAATCCTATTTTCTTTCGGTAATTTCAGGCTACAAGGTTAAATAGATAAATTTGTTTCATAACAATATCAATAAACAGTTTAATATGTTTGTGTCTGTATGCCTATAAGTCAAACTTGTTGGTCGTATAATGCCAAACTTTGAGTTTAATTTGAAAGTGTTGAATACCTCCTCCTTCCACTAAATATCACCTAATCGTCTTTCGCCGTTTCGTTTGCAAAAGCTTAACATTTCTTAACCTCAATTTTGACATATGTTAAAGGGGGATAAATTTTATATAACATAACAAAAAATTAGATTGATATATTTTGATATAGTGGCGTTGTACTGCTTTAAACTTTGCTTCTCGGGTGCAATGCGCCATGACGATTCGCGCAATGCGTCGCAAATCCGCCAACCCCATGTAAACAAAATCTATTGAAGTTAGTTGTAAGGTTTTTTCTCCGTTTTTCTCTCTAAAACAAACAAGGTAAACAGTAAAAACTGAGAGGAAACTAATTTTGAAGTTTCGAAGAAACAGAAAGACGCACGAGGTATTTTTTTTTTCAAAATTAAAAAGAAGGATGATGGTGATTGAAATTAGCATAATTTCACTTTGCACGAGCTGCACGCATTTATAAAATACACGTCATGTAATATGTCAAACATGAGATGCAGTGTTTCATCACCAGATGAAACACCGAGAAGAGAGTTGAAAATACGACGCGCAGCGGAGTATTTTTGACGAACTTCGAGGTGTTTCATCTGGTGATGAAACACTGTGTCGAATGTTTGATATTTCTTCTCAAACAAAACCATTTTTGAAGGAGAAATTAAGGATGCAAATACTAAGCAGTGTTTCATCCGATTTCCAAACACTCATTAAACATTAATTTCCTTTGTATTTTCTTAATGAATTATTAATGAGTTTGAGAACTAGTTATGAAACACGATCTGCTGTATTTTAGTTTTGCCATGGATGACATGGATGAGATTTTCCTTCGTGTTTTAGACAGTACTTAGTTGTTTTTGTTTTGGAATAACATCGACATTGGCGAGTAGTAGAACGAAAATATAATTCAGTGGTAGAGTCATGGAAGTAATAAGAGAAACCCTTTGAAAGAGATGTTTGTCTACTCCAACTAAACCTCCCGCGAAAATGGCAACATTTGCCCCTCGGAGACAGCGTACCAGCATAACGGAACGAGGAAGAAGTGCAAGAAAACAAATCAAGCCGCCATAACTCAGTGACAGCGGCAGTGTCTAATGGACAAACCACATCGCAAGCCCTGACCGAAGTCGAAAACAAGCGACATTTCTAAGCAGAGTCCCAGTCCACTGCATCACACCTTTTTGCTCGGACGAGCTTGTTTCACCGCCCAACCTCTATCCGCCCTGTTTCGCATGACTTAACGCCGTGCAAAACTTGTCGGGCGAAAGGCAATGAAAGCGTAAACAGATGGAGAGCATTCTTGAATATTGACGCGAAATGAGTTGGCGCTCCCCTGGGAAAAGGGAATAGCTAGACTCTTTGACAACCCGTTAAATCAGTTTAACTTGAAGTTGTCGTAACCTAAGTGCTTTAATAAAATGAGAAATTTCGCCGGTCTATTAAAACCGGTCGTTTGTACAATAAAGCAAATACGACGCCAAGTGTTATTTTTGTTGAATAATAAAAGACTAATAAAAGAATAAATATCAAACCTGAAATTGCTCTCTTCAAACTGTAAATTATAAATGATCCGGAGAGAATATTCAGTGTGTTAAGGGTTTCCCTGCTGTACTGTTGGCTCTATACAAGAGAGGAAGGGCTATTCTTGTTTAATTTCCGTTTCGCTGACACAGCTTTAGCAGAAATCTCTCTGTAGTCTTTTTCGTCGACAAAACAAATAGCAATATCGCTCTCCGCGTCTTCCGCCATTTTGTTCCGCGTCAATTCGTGAAGGACGCGTGGCTCTGAGCGTGGGTTATCCACGCGGAACACATTCGCGCTTTGTGATTGGCTGTTGTCTCATCCCCCTTGGGATCTGTGGTCTTAAAAATAACTCGAGACCAATTACCTATGGAATAGGGTGTGTATGGGGGATGCCTTCTCTGTCCTCCAGTCAATCTAGGCATTTTTGAGGCTCAACATCAAACTAATTGCAACAGAATTGTTTTCAACGCCATTTAAGTAAGGGTGGCCTATCTAGCAACATACTAAACATCCTCCGAAATCCGTTCGGTGCAACGTGTCAAAATTAAGTGTTAAACATTTTGAGCTTTTTACACAGGGGACCCACGTTAGTTGAAAGTATACGTTCCAACAAAAAATGCACGAAAGAATAACTGCTACCTAGTTTTCGGTGATAAAAACATTGAAAACGAAGAGTTTCTTTTTTTCAAACAAAATAAATATTAAACACGGTTGGCTTTTGCACAGGAAACCCATGCTCCACTTAAGGAACCCCAAAATAACAGGAAGCTTACAGAGTAATAGAGTGAACTGTTGGCTGAAAAACTACAACAAATTTAGTCGTAAGGCTTTAAACCTGAAAAATGAAAGCCGTTACTTCATCACTAGCTTTTAAAAAATATCCTTTTTATCAGATTTCTGTTAGCCGCAAGGGTAAGAAAAATTTATCTGTATTAGAGCTGGATTTTTTAATAACCTTACAGCCAAAATAGACCTCTCCCCTCAAACAGTCTTTTTCTTTCCAAAAACTATCTCCAAAAAAGTCAACATAAGTACTAGGAGTGCGGCCACTGCTTTTTTTCCTTCTCCTCCTTTCTTTCTCCTCGCTCTTTCTATTTTCCCTTTCCTCGTTCTTTTCTAGCAGGATTTTCAGGCTTATTTTGCCTTAGGCTTTTGGTCTTTTTCTCAGTCAAAGGACTGCAGTTTTCGTTCGGTACGTTTTCAAATATCCAGGAAGATAGCAAGATAATGCTTTGGCTTTTACGGTTACCTATACTATACATTAATTTTCGTTAACGTATCTGCATCCTCAAATATACAAGTTTTACTTTTTTGAAGCTTTTTGCTTTCTTCTTGTTAAAAGTGAATTGGAGAGGTGGGGAGGATAGTTTTACTAATTCTTTACGATGCACAACAATGCAAAGTTTTTGAACAGGTTAAGCTCCAATGCCTATGAATTCGATAAGAGGGAAATGCCTTTTCATTTGAGGAAGAGTGTTGTTACCTTCGCAAAAAAAAAATTGTAAGGGTTAACGGAACATTCATCGCATAAGAACTCTGGTTCCAGAAGACGTTTGTTTCAAGAAAACGAAGTAGTATAATAGGGAAGCTTGCCTTTAAGGGAAAGATTACCTTTGTGTAGCCAAAACAATGCGTATGTAAAAATATCTTGTAAGAGTCTATGGAGTAATGGAAATTCCTCACCCAGAGCATAATTTACCCAACTCAGTCATAAGGTTAACATGCAGTAAGTTGAAGTGTTACACAACGCTCATCCGAAGAGAGACATTGGTTCTGCAAAAAGAGGTGACCAATCAGAAGCTAAGTCAGGCAAGCCCATTAATGTCGTACATATGTCCAGTACTTTCGCGCCTTCATTGACAAGTGCAATTATTTTCAGACGTATAGGAACCCATGACTGTTATAGAAAAAGAGGTCTTCATTTGCCAATTGACGAAAAACAACTGGTCGAGGTTCAGGGTTGTTCTAACGAAGGAAGTGCAAGGAGGGAATATAAACGCCTTTAGACCACAGAGCGATTAATCTACTTATTCATCTTACCAAGAAATGAAGGGCTGTCGCAGAAAATACAAACTGAATACACAGATACACTAAACTAAATCTGAGACTCGCTACAAGAAGAAGATAAAAAAAGAACAATCACTGCGCTTGGTTTTCTGGATTTCCCTTACAACAGAATGAAAAGCGCAGAGCGTTACGATCTAGCCAAAACCAAATCGACGGAGTCCTTTGCAGAATATTTATTCACTCACATTGTAAAGCACGGAGTCATAATCCTAAAGGAAGTTGCACATGTCGCGACCCTGATTTCGATCACACATACTACCTCACAATATCGATTACAGAAAATGGGAATAGGTTAAACAGTTTGTACTGATACAAAGCTATCGTCCGTTGCACACATTAAGTCGCACGTATCTTGCAGCATGGATGCAAATTTAGTAGCTAACCGAAGGTGATCAAAATAACTGTTCACCATCAATAAACTACTAAATTTGCATCCGTGCTGCAGGATATAAAAAATTACCAGCGTGTGATACTGCCAAAATACGTACTGCATTTCTGACAGTGAGCAAAAAAAACAAAAAACAAAAAACAAGTACTAATATTTTTAACCATGTTAGCACAGACTGACTAATAATTTTCCTTTCAAATACCGTCACAGAAAAAATATTAAAGCATGGAAAACAGAGTATGAAGACAGACGAGTGGCTGGGTAACCTGTGCAAAGCCCTCAAGACGAAACAATGACCCAGGTGTTCCGCACACATTTAGTCGGCTTTTTTTAAAACAAAACTACCCAAAATACATTAGCGATGTTGTATCGAAAAGTGTGGAAATCTCTATTCCCAATTTTTATTTTCTCATCTTTCACCGAACCGATTTTGGCGGATTTTTAGTATGTTGTTAAATAGCCATCCAACAAATAAATGGCGTTGAAAAAAGTTCTGTTGCAATTAGTTTGATGCTAAACCACAATTTGACTGGACTATTAAGCTGTCCAAGAAAAACTCAGTGTCAGATATTTCTGTTGTTTTCCAGCCGCCTTGTTGGTACTCATTCGGATGGGCAATATCATGGCGTTCTTATACACTGAAACACTATAAATTTGGGTACCGGTAAATCATTTCTCTGACCTAAGTAACAGTCTTTACATATTTACTCCTTTTCAATTCCCAGATTCTGGACTTTATTTATCGAACATATTTTTTCTAAGGCGACAGTGAAAACTAGCAATACGCAGATCTCTACAATCAACGTTCAACCGGCTCTGTGGTTATCATGCAAGGTTTCTTTTTTGTTTTATTTTGATCTGTCATTTTCACTTTTGATAGATGTTCCATATCCCGTTACGAAATTGGGTTTTAAAGGAGGCTGTAGCTATATAAACTTAACTTGGAGTCAGCCATTAGGTGATGCTGAAGGAGGAAACGTGACAGGATACCTTGTACAGATGAAATTAGCCAGTTCTGAAGAACCATGGATGAACTGGACGACAAATTACGTTGCTCAGTCAACTCAGTCATGTCTATTTACCCAACTAAGGCCAAATAGCGAGTACCATGTAACAATAATGGCACAGAACAAAATGGGATATGGTTGGCCTTCAATGAAAAATGTATCAACGATTCAGGCAGGTAATTTCTTTCGAAAGTTTGCATGTTTAAATAAATTCAACCTGGAATTTTTATTTGATCTTTTGAGAGTGGGGCAGCGTCTCCCGATTCCACCCTCTCTTCCCAATTTTACATCAAACTTTACAGGGATTATGTCTCGTGAGTTGTGAGAGGTTGCTTCGCCCATTACAATAACAGAGAAAGCTCTCGTAAGCGACTACCTCTGTAATTCATAAAATTGCTCGCACTCCTCCAAGGGCTTAATTCGTTTACCAGAATTAAAATTGATCTCTCGTTTCTAAGCGACCATGTGATAAACCTATTGAGGAAGGTCACATACGAGAACTTTTAGCAGAAAGGTTTGTATGTGGTGTTAATTACCCATAATTTTTTTACATTTTAAGTTGGTTTGCCAACAACAAAAACGATAAGTTACGCAAACGCTTTAAGATATAGGTTGGAATGTACTATTAACCATAGAATAACGCGTTTTCTCGTCCTCTTAATGGTATGCCGTGTTTTATAGATGCTCCTAGCATGCCCGAGTTCGATGTTATATCGAGCGAAAATGAAAATGAGTGTGCTGTCTTTGTGCAATGGTCCCGGCAACCATCATCAAGTGACTGTCCTGTACTATTTCATACAATAAGCTACAGACGAAAAGGTGAAAATGAGTGGACCAGAGAGAATATTACAGGAAAAAATACCAATAGCCAGAAGATCGAGACAGAATGTTCTACGGAATATGAGTTCCAACTTGTGGCGACGAATGAAGTAGGATCGAGCCTGGTTACCAATAAGACGTTCACAAGGAAAGGGAATGTAATAAAGGATGATGAAACAGGTATATATGCATAAATGTGCAAATGGTGGTCATTGTATAGAGCGTTTTGACATGACTTGGCAGCGGCCATATTGAAATTCCAAAAGAACAAAACGGCAGCCACGAAGGTGTTCCAACCAATCTCGCGGGAATTAAACTGACTTTTCTTGTGTAAACGCTTGCTTTTGCTCCAATTATTTTGCATAGATGCTGGGCACATGAGTGAAAACACTCCATACATATAGAAGGTGTTTGAGTGTATCAGTCTAACGAAAGACAATATTTACAAATGATCCTGCTCATATTTTGCTCCATTAGACATGTATTTAGGACGACACTTATTGATTGATCGTCTATCTATTACAACACTATTGAAAGATTGAATTAACTATACAAAAGAATAAATAGAGTCCCAAGAAAGTTGTAACGCTATTCTTTGTCAAGAACATGATGCAAGAGATACGGTTGCGAGGGCATGCTAGGTAACCAGGACAAGATGGTGAAAAAATCAAAAATTTGTATGAGAATACAATTAGTCTTTTTATTTCTTGCTTATTGAAAATATTTGTCACTTTAAATTGTAATTAAAGAGCTTAAAGAAACCCCAAACTAAATCTGGAGTGCACATCAGTCCTTTGTTGCATTTTAGAAAACCTGAGTTCTTCCATACATTTTCTGTAATCCCACAACACAAAAAGTACAGAAAATGTATGGAAGACGTCAAATTTTCTAAAAAGCGACAAAGAACTTCTGTGCACTCCACATTTAGTGTATAAGTTAAAGTTAAACTACGACCAGACAATTAAAACTCAAACATCAAGAATCAGAATAGTCGATCTCATTGCAGCCAGTGTAGATACTGAAAGCGAAAAATTGTTATATTTAAAATTACAGGTATTTCTCTGGAGTTTATCGTCATCTATACCCTCGCCGGCTTACTTACAATCCTGGGAACTGTACTGCTGGCAGTGTGCATCAATCAATACAAAAAGAAAGGAAACCAATCCGCTAAGAGGTATGTAGGTACAAACTGCTTCAAAAATTCCTCTTTTCCTTCATTTTGAAAGATGCAATATATACCCAACATACCGGTATATTTGCGTCCACCTGAGCCGTGTAGTCTCTTTTGACGTGTTAGGCCTTTGGAATACATCCTTTTTATTCCATATAATTGTAGCAGAGCTCATTACGGTGAAGCTGCACGTCGGAACGCCACGAGTACGAAAATCTGGTTATCTAACGATACATGAATTTTCTTCCGCCAAATTTTTCCGTTTGATTAAATGGGCGTTCTAGAACTTGAAATACAGTCCTACCTCCCATAACGGCCACCTCTCCACAACGGTCACCTCTCTAGTACGGCCACTGTTTTACGGAGGACAGACCATACATTGACTCTTGTTTAAACCTCTCTACAATGGCCACTTTCTACTGTCCCCAAGGTGGCCGTCGTGGAGAGGCTCAGAGGCTATTGTTTTTAAACATCATAGGACTGCAAAGGACATCCAAGTTTTGGACGGTTGTGAAATTCCTCCAATCAGAATAGAATTTCTTGAATTGTTGGGTGAAGGAGCATTTGGAAAAGTTCACAAAGCGACGCTAAAGGACGCTATGGCATACTTTGAAGACGAGCGAGACTGGCCTAGCAGGCCTAGAAAGCAGAAAATTATTGCGGTGAAAGAACTTTTTGGTGAGTTCAAGTTTGAAAATTCAGACTTTCCGCTTCTTGTTGCAATGTGACATTCAGCTTTTATTTATCACCAGCGTTGTTTCTAATATGAAGGCTGGTCACGTGTCCAAAAGCCACTTAATAATAATAAATTAACGATGCATGAAAAATAATGTGGCATTAAAGCACACATTGTGAATTAATGTGAATGTGTAACAGTAAAAATCATCGGTAAGTGGGTTACTGACCAAGAGATCCAAGGACCTGTTATATCTTTGCCCCAACAAAGATATCTTTACAGAATTTCACTTTTATGGAAGACGCAGTTATGGTGATTGCTAATTTTTTTTTCTTGTACCCAACTATCCTTGTTGTTGCCAGCAAACGCCAACGAAGAAGGGAGAAAGGAATTTATGGATGAAATTGAGCTCATGAAGAAGGTTGGAAAACATCAAAATGTTCTGAGTTTCTTTGGATGTTGGACCACAACTAAACCAATTCTACTCATGATAGAGTACATCGCTCATGGAGATTTGCTTCATTGGCTTCGACATAAAAGACGTCAGGTATTAAAAATAATTACCAACTGATAATTTATGCCTCTGTTCAGTCATAGGATCACACGGAAATGTGGTAAATAACGAAAGAAAAAAAATCGGCTCATGGTTTGCTTTTTGATGTTCTTACCACATTTTTTTGTATTCAAAGATGTTTAATTGAAGACGCGCAGCAAGACAGAATCTAGTATTTGATTTGGGCATTAATTAACGGAAGAAAATATACACTTTACGAATGGCAGTGGTTATAACTTGCAACTGATGACTGTTGACTAAGAAACAATTGGCAATTCTCTGAGAAAATGCGCGAATACTATGCCATACGACAGTGCATTTACGTGATTATAGCTCTTATTTCCTCGAAGCATTAACTTTTCTTGGATTTTATGTTACTAGATTACATAACAATTCATTTTCTTATACGCCGGCAGTTTTTCTTGTTATAAATCCGATTGTCACTGACTGATGGGGATCACGTGCATGAGCATACCGAAATTGAAAAAAAAAATGTATCTACGAGTTTAATAATATTCGCATGCGTGATAGAGTAAATAACAGCATGTGATAAATGAGCGGGAAAAGCACGTGATTAGATCATTGCAGAGTGGCTTGTCATTTGAGTAGGAGCACCTCGCAGCTCACGCCAGATTTACCATCTTAATTTCATATTAGTGAGCGTCGTCGTTCATTCTCGTCAACCAGTGGTTGGAGCGCTTTCATAGCGCGTCTATGCATGATTGCGCCCAAAATGTATATATACCTTGCAGGTCTACATACTTTGTGAGACAGGAAGTAAATGTCCCGAGAACAATAAGCATTCGGCGCGATGATCTTCTTGAAAATGAAACAGAACCTGAAGTTAAAGAAGAAAAAGAAAGAAAAAAAAATTAACATGAAAAGTTCGGGCAAAAGGAAAGTGAATTGGACCCCACAAATATTAATGGGCCTATTACGTTGTAAGAGGGAAGCGCAGGTGGAGATGAAATGGAACAAACAGACACGAGGGCTGCCGAATGTTATGTTTCGGAAATGGAAAGAGATGGGCTATGAACACCTGCAGATGCAATTTCTTGTACAGAATTTGTCCGATAGAGTTGCAAAAGCAGAAAGAGGCTCTAAAACACTAAGAGATCACATGAAGAAACAACATATGCTGTCTGAAATTGCACAAAATAACAATCATGTTCAAGAAAGTGAACCTGGGAGAGAGAATGCAAAGGAATCCACTACTATTGAGGACGAAAGATACTTTACAAATCAAGAGTCCCAGTCCACAGGAGAGCAAAACAGGACGATGCCTAGAACACCAAGGCTATCAACGACGGAAGAATACAATGGACAATCAGAAATTCATGTAACCCTGTTCAACAAGGCGATGAAAGTGTACAGTGAGATCTATGATGATAGATGGGACCTCAACAAACGCCAGTGGTAAAAAAAGCGAAGAATGTTCCAGCAACTAAAGAACAAAAGATCTTTAATTAAGTACTAGATAGGCTAATTTCTAAAAAGGTCGGCTGTACTGAAACGGAACCTGAAGAAAAGCTATGGAAATTAAATTGTATTATCTATTCAGTTGCCGTTGCTTGGCGACATGTGAACGATGACTATCTAGGAACCTCGCTGGGACGAAAACAAAGGCCAAGGAATGTGAAATGTAGAAAGGAAAATTTTACAGAGAGATAGCTTTTATCAAAAGCCTCGGGCGAACACGAGGCAATACAAAAGGAATCCAAGATGACGAAAAGGCGCGTGAAAAGACGGAAACAAATCAGCGCCAAATGTAGGACTCTTTTTGTTAAAGACCTAACAGGATTTATTGAAAAATTCTAACAGCAATTCCCAAACTCATTAAATATTCATGATGTTGTCGCCCAACGAGAACGCCTTATTCTGGTCAGGTGAATGAATTGAGAAACCGAATGAAAAACAAATTGAAAACCACACGTGTTTGGAAACGATTTCAAAACAGTGTGGTGTGTAAAATGTTTCTCAATCGCATATTCAAAAAGAAAGACCAAAGATTAAAGAGTTGTAATACATTTTAGAGCAAGCTTATTTATTGCCAACATTCAATGTAACAGTATCAAAGTATCGAAATAAATAATGAAAAGTGTCACATAAAGCAACACTACTTTTGTCCGAAGCATCGAGAGGATTAAAAACGACGTATTTCCACACACAATCAGGTATAACGTTTTGGCTTGATATCTTTCCTTTGACGGTTTGGCAACTTCTTGGATAAACTTTGTCAGCCAGTAATTAAGGCTTGAAGCATCTATTTGAACTAACGAAACTAGCTTCCAAGAACTTAACTGTGTGCAGATCATACTGTTCAAAGAGACCGCCCGGTTCCGACGTTGCAACATTAGGAAATCAAGCTTTCCAACAATCATCAAAAATTCCAGCCGCCCATTTGTTTTTTATATCGGGTAGACATAGGTATAGCACTGCATGGCCACACACGTTTCTTCTTCATCTTCGCAAGTTTCAAGACGTCTAAATCTGTGCTCTGCCATCCGTATTGCGAAGCAACGTGTTTGCTTAGAAGTCACAAATTTAACAGCTAAGTAACAACGTGGCATTGAATGCAAATGAAATAGTATCACACACCAGCAAGCACTAACTAGGTGACAAGTTCACCTTCCACGTCTCAAATAAGATGTGGTTGAATTCCGAAAACGTCTTAAAATGATAATTTCTAGTAATTTTCTTTGTTGGAAAAGTAATTTCAAACGCTCGAAAACAATAAAACCATGTGAAATGTTTTCTCGTGTTTGGAAACCTAATGAAATCCCTGCACTCGTTTTTGAAATAGTACTTGAAAAATCTGTCACGAAGGAATAAAAAACTAAAAGCTCAGCGGCTTCAGCAGAAATGGGACAACGCCTACAAAAATGACCCGGTATCTGTATACAAGCTCCTCACTAAAACCTTGGATAGACAGAAAAGTCAGTATATCCCGAGTTTTTCACAAGATGAGAAGAATTTTGAACAGTCAACTGAACAGCAGAGAGAACAGACATACTTTAAAAATGTTGTTGAGGTTGATTCGTATTGGATAGAATTGTGGGAAACTGAAGCTGAAGAGAGTCTGAATGCAGACTGGATTAAAGAGATCGAGGACAGTATGGGTCAGACAGGAGGAGGAGATCACAGGAAAAGTTGAAGTCTCGGTCGACGAGGTCATAAGATCCATTGAGATTGTCTAGCACGGACAGAAACAAGGAGACACCCTCTTCCCATTACTCCTTTATCATGTCGTGGAAATTGAAAACATTACAAGGGTACAAGTTGTTTAAGCCAGTGGACAGTAGCATATCTCACGCCTTTTTCATTCGCCACCTTAAGCTCTATTCTAGCTCAGAGGGACAGCAGGGGATCAAGGTAGCGCTAACGCACCAGATGATAGATGATATGGGCTTATCGATGGCAGCCAAGAAAACCAAAACCATTTCATTGGCTAGAAAGACGTTGGTCTGCGACGTTGGTCTGCGACCGTCAGACGACGTGATGATTGAAGACTTAGTTGACAGCCTTACCAAAGATTCTTGGCGTGGAAGAAGCTGAGCGACAAGGAAACAAATTTGTTCTAAGGACAGCTGAAAAGGAAGATATCCGACGCGTCAGTGTAATCTCAGACACGACCATGCCCTACCAGAACAAAGTAAACGCCATCAACATATTAATTTGTCGAGCTGGTATCCGCGTTCTTTATCCCAGTGCTTTTCTTCTCTCACGAAGATATTAGTGAGGTTGATTTGAAAATCAAATGTCTCTTAACTGAGAGGGAAGTGAGATATCCCCAACACCTTAACACCTTGTTCTACGCATCCCGTTCAGTTGGTGGCTGCGGGCTGAAGAAAGTGACAAACATCGATCTACAAAGAAGCCAAGAACAAGTCAGCTTTAAGAATCACCACATCTAAAGATTCGAAATTGCAGGCCGTTGTGCAATTCCAAGAAGATAAGGAGGTAGAAGGCTGAATATCAATGCTTAAAGATGCTAAGAAATGTGCTACGGACATGAATGAGGATGAACTTAGTGCTAAACAATGATCCCAAACTTTCATTTGAAACAGCAGAAGGGAGAACTTACACTGTCATTTTTCAGACCTAAACAGCGCCAGAATGTTGCTGGTCAAAAGGACGTTGGGTGAGACATAAGTGGATATCAAAGAAAGCGTCTGGCAGGGGCACATTGTGTCCCACTCTGTGATGAAACAGTTGAACTATCAGAGTGCTTTAATTGGAGCAACAAATGAAAATCGGCTCCAACCTACACGATCTGCGCACGGAACGAAATTTATAAGCAATTCATTAGAACAAGGGTACGGCAATCCTTATGATAGCCTATGCTACAGAGAAGAAATGCAGGAAATGTGACGAGTTGACTGAAACAGTGGAGCATATTCTATCTGGTTGTCCAGAGCTAGCAGAAAGACAGTACCTTTACTGACATAATGATGCACTCAAATGAGTTTTAAATGAGCTACTCATAGCTCATCAATTGAGAGAGAAGCCACTTCTGCTGAGACAGGAGGCTCGCAGTTTCTATAGCAATAAGATGTGGAAATAACGTGGAGTTGTTCTATAGCGACTGAACCTCGTCAGGAGACAAGAAGATAAGGAAATCTACATAACTGAGATGGAGTGCCCGAGTTGGAGAAATAGGGCAGATAAGGAAGGGCGTAAAACCATGAAGTACACATCCGTGAGAGTCGAACTTAGGGTGAGACATCCTGATTTTAAGATTAACCAAACTAATACTATATTGGATGTCCTTGGAGAATACAGCAAAGGACTGAGAGAGCAACTTACCACCCTGCTCAGAGAAACTGCTACAAGAACAGTGTTAGCTCTATGCAAAGACTATCTTGTTGCGTTCGACTGGTCTTGAAATTGACAGGGTAAATTATATGGAACAGTGCAATGTTGTGAATGATATGCTCTACAAGGCGAAAGAACAGCATTATTCAGCAGTTATTCAGGAAAATGCCCATGATAGTAAATTACTTTTTCGCACAGTTGATAAATTACTGCAAAGGAGTATAGACAAAAGATATCCGTCTGTGAACAGTGACCAAGAACTCGCAAATGCCTTTGCTGATTTCTTTAGTGCCAAGATTGTGCGAATTCGTGATGAGTTGCTGGTTAGAAAAGAGCAGCTGGGGGAGCGCACCATGGAGGATTTTGAGTGTACGTCATGCTTTAGCGAGTTCACAATGGTAACAGATGAAGACGTCGTAGGGTTCATTAGGGGTTTAACTATTAAGGCATGCGCACTGGATCCACTTCCAGCGAGTATCATGCGGAAATGCTATTGTAGTCTTGTCCCTATATTTAGAAGGGTGATAAATTTGTCATTGTCATCTGGATTGCTGCCCAAGGAACTTAAGGTAGCGCTGCTATCACCTATTCTTAAGAAATTAAATGCAGACTTTGAGCAGTTTAGTAATTTTCGCCCTGTATCAAATTTAAAGTTCCTATCTAAATTGATAGAGAAAACAGTGTTTGTGCAATTGAATAGCTATCTTGGCGAAAATGATCTACACGAGCCTCTTCAATCAGCGTACAAGATTTTTCACAGCACCGAGACTGCACTTCTCACTGTTACAAATGACATTATGCTGTCATTGGATAAGGGCGAGAATATTTTCCTTCTTTTATTGGATCTGTCGGCAGCATTTGATACCGTTAACCATTCCTTCCTGCTGGCACGACTGCAGAAATCATTTGGCATCAGAGGAACTGTACTGCAATGGTTCGATTCTTATCTTTCTCAAAGAACTCAGTTTGTAAACATCAATGAAGCGAATTCTACGGTACGAGATCTTCCCGTGGGTGTTCCCCAAGGTTCAGTTCTGGGACCTGAACTTTACCTTCTGTATACTGCGCCACTTGCTAAAGTGATAAGATCTTATGGCTTAGATTATCATCTATACGCCGACGATACTCAGTTATACTTTGCATTCCAATCGGTGGATGTGGACGCTGCTAAATGGAGGGTCGAGAACTGCATTCCTGCAATATGTCGCTGGATGGATCTCAACGAATTGAAGCTAAACCACGACAAGACGGAGGTCATGCTCATCCACTCAAAGTATCGTCCCTCTCCATCCTTTCAGTCCTCATGTGTTGGTGATGAGAGCGTGGCTGCCTCTCAGTCGGCTAGGAGTCTTGGTGTTATCTTTGATGAGCACATGTCTTTTCATGCACATGTGTCTAGCATCTGCAGATCATCATTTTATCATCTGAGGAACCTATCTAGAATTAGGAAGTATTTCACTAAAGAATCAGCAGAAGTTGCTGTTTATGCATTTGTCACATCAAAACTAGATTACTATAATGCATTACTATACGGCCTACCTAAGTATCAGTTACAAAGATTGCAGTATGTACAAAACACAGCGGTTAGAGTTGTGTTGCAAGTGAGTAAGTTTCAGTATATCACACCTGTTTTGTGTGAGCTTCACTGGCTACCGATACAATATCGTATTATTTTCAAGATTCTGCTGCTCGTGTATAAATCACTGAATGGGATATCGCCTAGCTATTTATCTCAGAAACTACATTATCGTTCCCATACTAGATCATTCAGGTCTGTTAGTAATGAACTTTTAATGAAACCTAGATCGTATACCAAGACCTACGGAGATAGAGCATTCGCTGTTCATGCACCAAGAGAATGGAACTTAATACCTTATGAAATTCGGAAGTCCAACACCATCTCGAGTTTTAAAAGATCACTTAAGACGTACTTGTTTACTAAATTCAGTAATAACGGATCATTGTTTTTATAGATTTGTATATATTGCGTTAGTTTTAATTTTTGCCTTTTTTTATCATTATGAATGAAATGGTTTAATAGTTGCTTTAGTTTTAATTTTTTCCTTTTTTACTCATTGTAAATATAATAGGATATGGTTGTAAATTTGTAAATATTTTTCAATAATGTTGTTTACATGACTGTAAAGCGCCTTGAACATAGGATAAGAGCGCTATAGAAATAAAGTTATTATTATTATTATTATTGCCAATTATTAGAATAATTAAGCGTGTGGTAGAATGAATTACAAGTCTATTCACTTCATTCATTCTGTGCAAGATTAACGCATTTATACTTGTGTGTATATATATATTTTTGCTTATTTTATTTTATTCTTTAAAATAGTGAAAGTAGTTATTTGACTCTGTCCCTCCCTTTGTCCGAAGGTCTTCAGATATGTACAAACAACAGACAAGTGTCAATAAAGAAAGAAAGAAAGAAAGAAAAAAGGAAATGAAGAAAAGTTTAGAAGAAGAGGACGAGGAAGAAAAAGGAAAAAAAAGATTTTTGCATTCAATTAAAAAGAAGAAGAAATGAAAAGAAAAAGAGGAAAATGAAAATAAATTCTGAACTAACTTGTTAGAGAAAATGTTTTAGAAAAAATCCAAGCAATGAAAAAAAAAAAAAAAAGAAGAAGAAGAAGAAGAAGAAGAAGAAGAAGAAGAAGAAGAAGATAAGAAAAGGAACGAAAAGAAAAGAAAAGAAAAAAAAATTGCCCGACCTCTTTTCTGGCATTTTGCAAGGATTTTTTTTCCACAAGAAGTGCGCGTCAAATCTCCTTCTTTGCGCTTCTATTTTAGGCGTCCGTTTAGACAATAAGGTTAACTATTTTCCTCAGGGCCAGATATTTCGTATATATATGTATATATATAGTAAGCCATATCAAATCATGATCCACGACGTCTTACTTTATTCTTTTTTTTTTTTTTTTATGTCGGCTTGATTAGATAAGCAGTTCCATGCTACAAATCACAACAGGGGCTGCTAAGCACACAGAGCTGTATGCTGGGACACCAACTTGGAACGCGAACGCGATTGGTGATCAGGTACATAGCAGCTACTTGAAATATAAGTTATAATTCTTTCTATGAACTTCCTATTTTCAAATAAAGGTAATCTTGTTAATTAATATTTAGAATTTCCTATTATTTTTTCGGTTAGACCCAATAAAGGATTAAGGATTACTTCTTAAATGGTCAAAAATTGGTTTCGATTAATTACAAGTAACCACTATAGCTCTTTTATTCAATGTGTTACAACAATTACAACTGCAAATGGAACATGTAAATGCTTTTGACGCAAACATATACCGGTTGAACCTTACAAAGAAAATAATCTATTTTTAAAAACTATAGCAAATATTCCAAACACACCTATCGACTGCAAGCCCCTTATGGAAATTGTGAGGTTGTCGGGGGTTTTTCATTGATATTCTGAATCCTTGTGAAGTTTGTGAGAACTTAAAATTAAGATGTTTATTTATAGTTTTAAATGTCATGTTTTAGACGGAAATGACTAGGAAGTTTACTTTTATGCGTCTCTAAACAACATAAAACACCTTTTACTTGTTTTTAAACAACCACCATTCTATGATAAGTGATACTTTATGACTGAACCATTCAGGATGACGTGTCAACTGAAAAGAAAACAGTTACCTTGGGAGTACCAACAGTGATAACGTTTTCTGCTTTTGATGTGGTGGAGAAAAACCGTGGTGATTTTAATCGTGAAGAGGAATGTAAAATATCCATGCTGGTATCTTCGGCATCAAATCAGGTACATTTCAAAGTTTTTTTCCTCTTTAAAGGATCCAGAAAGCCTAACCGTATTCAAACCATTTGCCAGTCGCGTTTTGATATTTGGGACTACACTTTTTCTCGGAGAGTTAAGGTGTTTCGACATAGTTTTTGGGAGACCATGCCGATGTTTTTGAATCACCCTAAAAGTGATTTTATCCTTGTTCGATTTACAGAATTTTTTACTTCTCTCGAAGGGTATTTGCTAAACACCACACTGTAAGTTCCTGGTGTCGGGATCGTCAGTAGCAGGTCTAGATGGTGTAAAATTTGGATTCTATCGATTTCAAAGTTTTTTGTTTATTGTTGTCATAGTGATATCGATTTTACAAAAAACTGCATTTTGACAAACTTCAATTCATAGTTGCTGAAAAGTTTGTAACGATCGGACAAGGACAAAATAACTTTTAAGGCGATTGAAAAACATCGGTATGGTCTCCGAAAAACTGCAGTATCAAAACACCTTAAGTATTTTTTACTTTGAGGGGACAAATTGTGGCTAGATGTTGAAAATAATGAGTACATTATTCTGTGTTATTTTGGTGTCCGTATCATGAGCGGTTTGGAAGTTATAGAAGGGTGGGAGGGGGGCATTTAGACTTGCCAGAAGTCGACCTCACGAGAGTTTCAAAGCGATCGGAGCGAGCTTTTTAGGCCGCGAAGCGACCGACCGAGCGACGAAGTCGAGAGGTCGATTTGTCTCGCTTGAAAGGTTTTTTATTTGAGTTTCGCGCCAAAAAAGGGGAGTGGCGTGACTCGTCTTCGGAGTTTGTGGTTATATTTGGGAGTCTCTGACTTTATTGATTCCACTCCGTCAAAAAACAATCTAACCTGTGTATATTTCCCCGATATCGAAAGGGCAAATTTTTCAACTCTGTAATGAAGTTGTCACAAACGAAGAGATTTCAGGAGTAATAACGACCTCAGGGGGGTTGGCGGAAAAAACAAAGCTTGTTTTAATCTCAAGTCCATATTTGGAAAGGAGATCTCCAGTGACGGTTTTCTAACGAATATTTTGTGCCGTAAATGTGCCGACAAGAATGAAGCCCTTGTTCGGAAGCTTCACGAATTAAGGTGTTTCGATACAGTTTTTCAGAGGCCATACCGATATTTTTTAGTCGCCTTAAAAAAGTTTTTTTTCCTTGTCGGATCGCTATAAAATTTTCACCAGCAATTTTGCGATGGATTGAAATTTGTGAAAATATAGTTTTGAGTAAAATCGATATTACTATGACAAAAATAAACAAAAAACTTTGAAATTGATAAAAGCCCAATTTTGTGTGATCTAGACCAGCTACTGAAAATCCAAGGCTAGGAACTTAAAGTTTGGTGTTTAGCAAACAATCTCCGTAAGAAGTAAAAAATACTGTATGTTTGAATTCAACTAAAACTAAGACATATTTCAAACCTTAAATTTTCAATAGCCGTGATAGATTATTTAATAAAAACGTTATAAATGACTCAAATTATTCTTAAGTAGCGTCAGAATGCTGCTTAATATCATATTTTAATGCTAAGAAATATTGGTTTTGGCGCCGTACAAACGACTTATTGACGAGATAAACAAAACTAACTACGAGAGAACGACTGGAGAACTGACAATTTGACTAACAATAGGCGACTGTTTGACTGTGACAACAGACGGATCGAAACGCACCAATTACTGATTACGAATCTTCATAGCCAATAACATCACGGCCTAACTGACAGACGACCAATAACATAGCGACGTAATCGACCAATCAGATCAATAACCAGAGTATAATACCATCAACTGACGTGGTACAACTCACTTTGACTCTGAAGATGACTACCGTACAGGTTGTCGAAACGTCAGTCACTGTCAATAACAACAGTCCTATTCAGGACTATGTTCACCCGGACGATCAAACTCAACCTACTTTTGAACATTCATTGTTTTGACGTTATGCTAATTTTTCCAAAATAATGGGCACTTTACATACCTCCATGCCTTGTACAGTTTAGTTCGAATTTATCGCATCTTTTGAAAGTAAAACATTGACAATACTCACACTGAAATGTACTAGTCATGGATATTTGTATAGTTCGCATTAATTTGGAAAAATTAGCATAACGTCAAAACAGTGAATGTTGTAGCGAGGATTTTTGACCGGTTCGTAGGATAGGTTTGTCTTGAAATTTCAAGGTGTTTAATACTTAGATTTATACTTGGAGATTACTCGTCTCCATACAACACTCTTCTCTCAAAAGTCAGCTCTATTTCTTTGTTTAACAAACGCATTCAAAATTTCCTCATTCTGTTATATAAGAGTTTGTTTTTCACTCATTTTCCTACTTATATGAAGAATATGTTTTCACTCCGGGCCTCTTCCTATGATCTTCGTGGCAACTACATTCTTTCACTAAGTAAACCTAAAACAACTACCTATGGTCTTAACTCCTTTTCTTACTTTTCAGCTAAGCAGTGGAATGCACTGCCGGACTTTTTTCGTACCAGTTTTTTTACAGACTTTAAGACTAAAATACAGGATGTTACCTTCATGTAGATTCTTTTTGCCTGACATACTTAAACTTAAAATTGTGAATTGTAAATGATATTTTCTTTCCTTGCATTTAATGTATATATATATTTTCTATATAGTTTTTATGTAGTGTCAGCTCGAAGATATTAGCTTGTTAGCTACTCTAAAATTCGAGTTTAAATAAAGTTTTATGTTATGTTATGCAGTGAATCAATCTTGATGAAAGTTTCAGACATTATTATATACAATATGAAGATTATGTGAAGAGATTTAAAAGAAATTCGTTGGAGTCGTTTGAGAGATATACAAGAAAGCGCTAAAAGTCCAAATTTTCAATGAAATTTCACTTAATATACAAGTGGTGAGAAAACGGGTTAGTTTTCAAGATCGCAAGAACGAAAATAAACCAAAATTTCCTAGCATTAAAATATGATATTAAGCAGCATTCTGACGCTACTTAAGAATAACTTGTGTCATTTATAACTTTTATATTATCAAATGAACTATCAGGGCTATTGAAAATTTAAGGTTTGAAAAATGTTTTCGTTTTAGTTGAATTCAAACATACAAAATTTGTTACTTCTTACGGAGATTGTTTGCTAAACACCAGACTTTAAGTTCCTAGCGTTGGAGTTTCAGCAGCTGGTCTAGATCACACCAAATTCGGCTTCAATTTCAAAGTTTTTTGTTTATTGTTGTCATAATAAGATCGATTTTACTTAAAACTACATTTTCACAAATTTCAATCCATAGCCAATTACTGGTGAAAATTTTATAGCGATCGGACAAGGAAAACCCACTTTTAAGGCAATTGAAAAATATCGTTATAGCCTCTGGAAAACTGTATCGAAACACCTTAAGTGAGAGAAAGCTTCGAATCGTCGAGAAAGGCCATTGCAGAGAAGAAAGGAGGGATAGATGCCGAGATAGATAAAACTCAATAAAACGGCGCGCGCGCGCGCTTCAGATTGTGATATCGGAGAGCAGAAGAATCACATTGCAATCCTCGCCAAATAATCAAAATAAACGATTGAAAGCGTGTGGAGCCAGCTCAACAGTTAGAGTTTACTCAGCTTCGGTTGGAGCAGGGACAAAAAACCTTTCCCCGACAGATATTCTTCGAGTATTTTCCTCTGATAGTCACGCATAATCAGAATATCCCGCAGCCTCGAGAGCATCTTTTATTACATTGCTTTTGCAATCGACCCTATGTTGGAATTTCAACCGTAACTCACGTCTCAGTGCGCTTTAAATTACTTGTGAGTGACCATTTTATCCCCAAGGGTCCTAAAGAGCTACTCTGACTGGTTAAAGCGCAGCGACCCGTTTTTTGGTCGCTAAAACTGGCTCCAATCAAGTACGAAAAGTCCTTTGTCCCGCGACATATTAAATCGGAGGAAGGACCTTCTTGAAAGTCTGTGGGGACTTCGAAGCTTCCTCTTCCCGGTCACAGGAAACGAAGAAAAAGCCCGGTCTGAATATGGTTAAAAAAGGTGCTTAATGAACGAGGCTTGTACCCTGGTTTAACCAGGCTTTTGGGTGCACGGGTAATGTTTACACATTTTGGCATTCCGTGAAAAATCTGAGAAAATAACTTATAATGAGTATATAACGCCTTTTGGGTAGCACATTCACAGAGTGGTTCGAATTCGTTTACCATTCCGGATCCGGATCGAATTAAGAATTTAGAAATGATGGTTTTTTGAGGAGAGGGGAAAAGCGGAGTATCCGGAGAAAAACCCTTTGGAGCAAGGGTGAGAATCAACAGCAAACTGAATTTACATATGTCGTCGCCCCTGGAATTCGACTCCGGGCCAAACTGATGGGAGACAAATGCTCCTACCAATGTCCCATCTCGCCACCGAAGTATCCCTCTGAACTTCAAGTGTATGCCTTTTTTTTCTATGGCCAGATAAGAAATGGCTGCAACTTGAAACAGTTTGGTAAACTTTTTCGAATGAAATTCTTGTGTTGTCAAAAGTTTACAAAAACTGATTGTGTTCATGCTGTTTTTTTCTTTAAGAGAGTCGCTTGATTTATCGTTAAGGAGTTTTTAGGTATAAGAAATTGAAGAGAGGAGAAAGTGGGTTTAATTTCAGTTTAGGTATGGACCAAATTAAAATGTAAAACTCGCGTTGACATAGACTGTGGGCACTCATTTTGTGAGTGTGTACTTGCAATTGATATTATTTATTATTTAGGAAGTTGCGGAAACAAGCAACTTGTTGGGGACAAATGCTGAGCCTTGCACTGTGGACATGATGGAACGAGAGGAAGCTGATTTTGAGAGTGAGGATGACTGCAAAATACCCTTGATCGTATTCTCCCCACCAAATCATGCCGAGGTAAATATAATTTTATAAGTTAAGGACAAAAAAATTGCAGCTTCCCTCCTCCTCAAAAAATCTTTTTCTTTTTTCATACATAGGCAGGTCCGTAAAATGTTGAACACATTTTCAAAATTAGTGTTGACTTAATGATTTTGATTTAGCAGTGCCGCAAAATTATCATGTTTTATAATGCCAAAACACCTTGGGAAGTGTTTGGTGGCTGCTCTTAATAAAAAATGCTTAAAAAATGTTTAGGGTTAAGTGCTTCGCTTATAAATATCCTCACTGAGGAATTAATTTACCCTATATCATCTTTTGATCTCCCCCCGAGAGGGGCTTTCTTTTAAAGCACGTTTCGGGGCGGGGGATTAGTAGAGAAGAGGGCTTGTATTGAGAGAGGGTCTTACTTAATTTAGCAAAGATGATGGACAGGTATTAGTCCTTTATAAAACCGCTATAAAACAAAGTGGAAAAGCTCAAGTGTCTCCAACCGAAGATCAAGGGCAAATCTGAACTTCCAGCACTTGAATACACGATACAGGATCAGTCCACATAAAGTGCCTATTCAGTTTATCATTTATTAATTTTGATATGAGGAATAATAAGGGAGACGAAGGAGAGACCTAATAGGAAAGGGGGGGGGGGGAGGTATTTATTTTGTTCCCCTGTATACTGGGGGGCTTATAAGAGAGGGGAGCCTAATAGAGGATTTACGGTACAGTAAAAACCCGCGAATACGAACCTGCATTTTTACAAGTTAGCCTAAACAGTTTCTTGTATAAATGGTAATTAGCACAAATTTAGGCTATTTAGGTTCTTAAATAGGTCAGCTCTTATTTTTCTGAAGAAAAAAATACATTGTAGCTAAGAGTACTTTTCATACAGTATGGTTCTGGTTCAATTGTTCATCATTCCAGAGACTCTGACTCTGCTGATGTGTAGATACAATCAATCTTATTGAACAGTCGATACTATTATTTCTGGCTCATATAATTTATGTACTGTATTTTATACTACTACATGAGAAATTTCTGCAATTTGATTGGCTTAGAGCAGTGGTATTTCAGCTTAATTTGAAATACCTACTTGTGAAAATTACAATCTTTTGCGGGTAGTAGTATAAACAAATAATAGCATGATTTGTACGTGATATTTGGCATAAATACCACTCGTGATATTTCGAAATTGTCTCACATTTCACTCGCCTAACGGCTCGTAAAATTACCTATAACAATTTCGAAATATCACTCGCGGTATTTATGCCAAATATTACTACTAATCATGCTATTACCCATAATATATAGATTTAGCCAGGGCTAAAAGCGAAGCTTCCATTAATAAATTCATAATTTAAATCAAACAATAAACTTGTATTCCAAAATTCAGATAACTTTACAACACATTCATGTGACCTTTGAAGGAAAGGCTAAGTGATATTAGAGAAAAATATTTTGCAAAGAACCGCCAAGAGTGAACCAAATCTTACATCAAGTTTACAGCCTCATTAATAGCAACCATCTTCGATCACATTTAAGAACCACAATGGGCAGGCTCTTGATCGCCGTAGATTAATTAGGCCTGGAAAAAAAATCAGACCGAATTTTTTTGCGTCGGACAAGTTTACTTTACAAAATCTTGCCAACAAATCTGGGTGAGTGACATCCAACCTTTTTACCATTTGTACATCACATCTGAGGTGAAACAGTGCTATAAGGCACTGTTTTTATCATACAGACCTCTGACAGAATGCAGTATTTCACAATTTTGCAATACAAATTACACTCATTCAATATTCAGGACGATCGAAGCACGCCTGGGCTTTTAGCTAAGCCGTTAAAATAATTTCCAAAATCACCTATACGGCCACCCGGTTCTCACTTTTGCAGCTCATGAGCTGTGGTCGACTGTTTGAACGAACATTGATAGTTTCGCTCCAACACAATGAAGAATTTATTATGTTTATTTTTTGTTTATTTTATCGATGTGTGATCTTCAAAAGCGTTTGACACACGCGGCAGTTTGAGTACTCGTGAAAGCGATGTTGACACTGAACGACTGAAAACAAACGGCACAGCGATTAAAATTACAATAAAGACTGCTAACAATCAATGAAAGAAATATAATCCGGTGAAAATATACAGAAATATACAGAAATATACAGAGACAACAATTTTCATTCACGAAGACAAGTATTAAAGTGTCTCTAAGAATCCTGAGTCTTCAAGCTTAAGCTTAAAAGCCGGCTTCCCGGTGTTTGCTATTTTCAAAGATGAACTCGAGGCAAGAAAATCGCTCAAAGCTTTCTTTTACAGCTAGGATTATAACTAAATATTCTTTGAAACGTTTTCTTTTTATTTGCGGTAAGAAAATGTCTAAAGACTTTTTAAAGTTCTGTAAGCTTATATCAAACCTGATGCTCGGTCAGATTGTCTCAAAACGTACAAACGTGCATAAACTAAATAGCCGCATAAACTACGCTCGACTTCATTAAATTAGATATAAAAAAAACAAACATCAAATACAATCATTACTCAGGCTTACCATTCGAGATGCAGCTCCTGAAAGGTATCAAGTAAGGCCAGTATCGCTTCAGAGTTTTCAAGCAAGGTGAAAAACGAAAACGATGCCATCCGAAATCGGATTTCCGACTTTGACAAGCGACGCATCTCTCAACCAAAAAACCAATAAACTAGCCATGAATAACAGAATACTCTTGATAGCAGCTGTATTTCATGTTTGTACATCCAGTAGAAAAAGACAGTTAAAAAAATCACAAGTTGACACAAAACTCTGTCAGCTTCAGCCGTCAAAGTAAACAAGATTCAAGATGCTGCATAAATTTTCCGCATGAACTCACCTGTCAAATTTTGACCAATCAGAGCATAAAAATTCGACGTAGAGCGTGACCAACGCGTGACCTTGGCAAGAAAAGGTCTTCTCCGCCTGTATTTCTAAATAACTGGCTGAATTTTCGCGTCCAAGGTTAGTTTGAAATCAAAATCTTAATAGTCCGGGGCCATAGTGACATAAACATAACATATTTCATATGACTTTTTAAAAAAATAAACTTGAGCCTGCGATCATTTGAAAACTAGTAACTTGTCAGCGGATAACTTCAAAAAAGTACTCGACCTCGATGGGTCGACACCTGAGCCCGCGATACCATCAGGTGGCCAGCCAGCGGATACCTTGTTTTGACAGATGTCAATTGATCCATGGATATTATCCATGATTGATCACAACATTGATGAGCAATCAGTTTTCTCCTGGGCTCCCAAAGTGGTTAGAAAGTGTGAAACTAAGCATTGGTTTTCCTGTGGTGCGGACGGATGGTTAAAAGCAACTATCTTCCTTGCATAGCTGGCTGAATTTTCGCATCCGAAGTCAGTTTGAAATCAAAATTTTAATTGTGCGGCACATAAACACAACATATTTCCAATGAATTAAAAAAAAAATATACTTGAGCCTGCGATCGATTGAAAACTAGTAACTTGTCAGCGGATAACTTCAAAAAATACTGACCTTGATTGGTAAACACCTGAGCCCACGATACGCTCAAGTGATACTAGTCAGCGGATATCCTGTTTCGACAGCTGTCAATTGATCACAACTTTGATGTCCAAAATGTATGCATTATCAGTTTTCCTGTGCTCCCAAACTAGCTAGAAAGTATGAGATTGAACATTGGTGCCCTGTGCTGCGGACGGACGGGCGGTGTACGGTCAAGTGATTACCAAATTTTCTGGGATGGGTAGGTTACCTTAGCTATGGGGCTCCGCCCACGCGCGCGCTTCGCGCGTATGTGGAGCTCCGCTTTTAATTTGTAATTGCATTCATAACAATTTTTTTTTCAACATTGCATTGGCATTTATATTCCAGTTGGTGTGATGAGGCACCTATGTCTCCCATGTTTAAGAGGATTCTGAGAGTTGACTTCCCTCTTTTTTTTATAGATTTTAGAAAATAATAACCTGTTTCAAATTTTAGGCTAAAAAGGTTCTTGTATAGAGGGGGCCTTAATGGCAAATTTTAGCCTACCTAATCAATTATGAGAATATGCATATTTTGTTAAATACTATTTAGAACGGTTTGCTTTCATCAGCATCCTGAAAAGTGAATTACAAATGCGGCGCAAGGAAAAAAAACACGTGACATTGCTTCGTCAATGACACACGTTTTCTTAAACGGGGAAGGGTTGCAAACCTTAATCTTGGAAGGGTTGCAAACCTTAATCTTAGGAATTTTCACTACCAAAATGTTACATAAACAGTGTAAATCGTAAATCTGCCTTGTATGATTGGAAATGTTATTTATCCTATCAGATATTTAACTAATTAATAAGTCACGTGACTCTTTTCCCTTTGTTTAACGATTCCTTTATAACGTAAACACACATGCAAGGCAAATTTTTCAGGACCTTTTTAATAATAGCCTCTGAAATGTACCTAAAAGAACTTGTTGCTCTTTTATTATCCTTTCCCCATTTTAGAGGAAATATTTTGACCGTTATTTCTCAATTATCAGTCACGTACGAACATTTGAGCTTCTAAAATGTCTCATATTGCTAAGGCCATTAAGCTACTTTTGTAGTTCAGTTTTCAGGATCATTGAGAAAAGCAAACCGTTCTAAATAGCACTTTATCAAAATATGCCTATTTAATTAGATAATCATGTGGCCTGTGTTCTTAAAGAACAGGATCTTAGTCGTGTTTTTTGCCGTGTCTGCAAGTTTTATCACGTGAATTATCTAGGATACAGAACCAATCGAAGAAAGACCAAATAACTCCGAAGCAAGTGGGGGACCTTCAAGCACTCCCGACGGCAAGAAAGAGCAAGGAGAACAAAGAGATTTTGACGATGACGATCAATGCAAAATCCCAATGACAGTGTTTTGGTCGTCGATCCAGGAAGAGAATGCTGCACCCAAGACAGATGAGAAAGAGTGTGATAACGATTGTGAGACGTTTCATCCAACTGACGCGATGTCCTTTGCGTGGCAGACTGCACGAGGAATGGTGGGCGTATTTAGATTTTGTTGTGTCTCTTGGAAACCATGACCGGTTACAATGTAGTCTCCGTAGAATGTTCTGATTTTACAAAAATGGTGTATGGTTTAAATTTGAAGATGTTGTAACGAGAGTGCACATTACATAACATTATAGAAAGTGAAGAGATTCGGCGCCAGAGAAAATTAGATTTCATCATGATCATTTTGTTTGTGCGATGTTTGCATATATTTATATCTGAACATAATTTGGTTTCAAGGATGACGTTAATTTTAGCAAAAGAACGGAAAGAAAAAAAAGAAGAAGAAGAAAAACGAGGAACCTCGTCCACAATCATGATTAAAGAAAATTATTGCTACTGATAACGCCATATACGGAGTTACGAGTTGAGCCAAACTATGTTTATTTTATTTTGTCCACAAACGTTAAAAATGGGTACTTCTTGTTTGTTGGTTGGTTATTTTGTTTTAAGCCATTTATGGATCACCGTTTTTGGCTCATTATATTATAATATCATTATATTAGCAAACATATACATATATCTAATTACATATCGCATTCACTTAACTGGGTTACACTATTCAGAGCTACCTCTCTGAGAAGGGCCTAGTTCACAGGGATCTTGCTGCAAGAAACATTCTTGTTGGGCACGGTAAAAAACTCAAGATTGGAGACTTTGGTTTGATGCGAGAAATGTATCATGAGCTGTATAAAGTTAAGAAGCAAAAGAAACTGCCCATCAAGTGGATGGCACCGGAGGCGATTCATGAGCAGATCTTTACTTCCAAAAGCGACGTGTATGTACTAATAGATATATACAGTACTACATACAGTGTAACACCGATAACGTGTGCGAGTAATCTTGAAGTAATGTTTAAAACACGATCAACAGTGTTATATTTCTGCACAACATTTGTTAGCTTTGGCTGCTTTTGTTTAACTTTTTTTTTCAATCAAATATTTAGCAATCCTATCGAAATTAAATACTCCGGGGACGTTTTTAAAGCTGTTCAAAGCACTCATAGCACGTGTTTTACCACTGGTTGAAAAGTCTCGTGCTTCGTCGTGAATTCTTCGCGCTCGAATTTTTTAAGCAGTCATATATAAAACAAGTGCTGTGTCGCAATACGGCTATCAAATGAAAGAAATTTCACAGGGAACCTGCCACACAAGAGGGAAAAAATGTTCGAGTAGAGTGTCGCTAACTCTAACTGCAACGCGACATAATGGGCGTTCACCATTTTGTCGCCCATAGACCCATGCATTGGGTCCATTCCTTCTTAGAATGGTAACATGGACCGCGGTTTGGTTCGGTTTCGTATTTCGTTTCAGAATAAGTTCTGATCGATCGACGGTTTGTTCAGTTGAGGATGAACATTTCTTAAGCCTTTTTCTGTCTGCGGAAGAAATTTTGTCAAATTTTGGACTTTTCATTTATTTGCAAATTAGGAGGACAGTTTTTATTTATGTAAAATTTCATGTTTATTAGTAAAAACGAGGCTGCAAATAACGGCATACGTCATCACTAATGAAGCGATCCGGATGGATTCCGAAAGCTCTACAAAACTTTCAACAAATTGTTGGGTGTTGAAGAATTATTTTTTTCTTCTTTTTTATATAAAATATTCATCCTAATCAGCATTCTATTGTTTCAGTCATACCCCGTGTTCCCCTTGAAAGTTGAATGTAGAAACCCTCCGATCCCCTGAGTTTTCGGTTTGCTGCGTTTTATCGGGCATGAGGATCCGCAAGCGACTTTTTTTTGCGATCAGCATGATTTCTTAGTTGCTACGGACGCTTTGTTTTCAAAAGGTGACAAGAGAATTTCCTGCTGTGGGAATTTAATTAGCACGTTAATTTCTGGCCAAAAAACGTAATCCGATAAGGTGTCAACCCTGTCATATGCCACTACAGTAGTAATCCTTTTGAAAGCTCAGAACGCGTTCAAGATAGTAAAAACCAGATGAAAATACAACGCTATCCATTGTAAAAATTAAAATAAAGCAAACTTAAAACAATTTCGCTTATAGTAAAGTGTATGCCTTGAAAAACCTTCAAGTTGCGTTCTAGATAATTTTTTGCCAGATTTCAGCACGAGGAATCCACGCGCCAGGACGCGCGAACAGCAATGATCAGGAAATAAAGCGGAAGAACGAATTGTCTTTTCAAAAATATATTTTCCCTTTCAAACTGAAATGCTTCAAGGCTAAACAAGATTTTGCCTATTGCGACTGGCCGGTGCTATCTCACGATAGCCGATCTGTAGCGACGACACGGAGTCGAGTGTAAATATTGAGCCGCTTTTTAGGCATGCGGTTGCCTGCAGTATTTATTTATGCGTCGTAATGTCAAAACAAAGAAACAAATCAGCAAGTCGAAAAAAGGATTGTGCAAGTAAAAGTATAACCCATCCTACAATGGAATTAATTGGATTTTACTTTATATGGTATGCTTTTGGTATATCGCGCTAGATCTGCCACGATACTTTGTCAGAAGATTCCTGAGAGTGAGAGCCACGAGTGATGGCGGTGTACATGTGTGACGATCCTCGTCTATTCTATTACGCCGGTTTTTTTTCTCCTTCGCTGGATACCGAAAAGACTTGGTATCATTGCTTTGAATTCCAGCCTATGTAATGGAAAGCTATGCATGTTCGGCTCCTCCGATTCAGTCAAGAGTTTTAGCGAGGAATTTAAGCAGTCTGACAAGATGGCGTTCTTGCTTGTATGAGTTGGTTCTCCGTGCCCTCGATGGAGGGGGCTTTTTGGTCCGCTGTCGCTCGATATCATTCGCCACAAGTCCCTTAGCTAAATCATGTTTCTAGAAGCGGTTTTCAAGAGGTGGTGGACTGGATCAGTTCATTTTGATTCAGGGTTCTGTCCATTGGCGCCAAAATCGAATAGCCCGCCAATTCCCCAAAATAGCCCGCCAATCCAAAATCTCTGTACACATCCTTCACTCAGGAAACAACCAAGTAACAATGGGTATGACTCGCTTTTATTAAATAAGAAAGTCAGTATACCAACTTGCATAGCAAATTGTGAGAAATGAGGTCAGTTAACCGGTTTATTGTTTGTTGAAATATCATTTTCTTGTAATTATTGTGGGACATAATTTTTGAAGCCCATTGTTTCTCCCTTATTTAAATTCATTTTTTTCTCCTTTCACTTCAATTCCTGTCACTTTTCAATGGCTAATAATGTTTTTTTTTTCATAAAGGCTGATCTCATAAACTGTTTTGCAAATGTGATTAGGCATACAGAGGTCTTAAAGAAAAGTGAATTTTTTTTGACAGAAAACACTACAATTATGTTTGTTTAAAGGGCAACATTTAACGTTAAGAAGAAATTCTTCTTTTTCATCGATCTGTATGTATTCAAGAGTGGGTGTTTCATACTGCCATGATGTTCTGCGACTCCTAAGCACAAATTGTGAAATGCAACAGAACACTAGGTGTGTCGCCTGTGTTTCTGTGAGTTAGAAATTCATGGCATTAGAGAGATTAAGATTCACGTTTACGTCAAACGGCAAACGTGAATTTGTACCACGTGACCAAGTTTTCCCCACATTGTCGTTTCCTGTTTATTACTTCTGCTCAAAAATAAGTAGTTTCACGCCAGTTTTATCCATAAGAATTGTTCTGGACAGTTTTTATCTGCTTATTTTCTATTTTGAGAAACTCTCAACTTGAATACGACGTTAGCAGTTTACCGTAAACGTGAATCTTAATCTCTCTAATATTAATTCACCTGCAAACTTATCTAATAGTCATCTTGAGTGAGTAGGTTTTTGATAATGCCATGATGATCTGCGACTCCTAAGTGCAAATTGTGAAATGCAACAGAACACTAGGTGTGTCGCCCGTGCTTCTGTGAGTTAGAAATTCATGGCATTATGAATTCACCTGCAAACTTATCTAATAGTCATCTTGAGTGAGTAGGTTTTTGATAATGCCATGATGATCTGTGACTCCTAAGTGCAAATTGTGAAATGCAACAGAACACTAGGTGTGTCGCCCGTGCTTCTGTGAGTTAGAAATTCATGGCATTATTAATTCACCTGCAAACTTATCTAATAGTCATCTTGAGTGAGTAGGTTTTTGATAATGCCATGATGATCTGCAACTCCTAAGTGCAAATTGTGAAATGCAACAGAACACTAGGTGTGTCGCCCGTGCTTCTGTGAGTTAGAAATTCATGGCATTATTAATTCACCTGCAAACTTATCTAATAGTCATCTTGAGTGAGTAGGTTTTTTGATAATGCCATGATGTTCTGCGACCCTAAGTGCAAATTGTGAAATGCAACAGAACACTAGGTGTGTCGCCCGTGTTTCTGTGAGTTAGAAATTCATGGCATTATTAATTCACCTGCAAACTTATCTAATAGTCATCTTGAGTGAGTAGGTTTTTGATAATGCCATGATGATCTGCGACTCCTAAGTGCAAATTGTGAAATGCAACAGAACACTAGGTGTGTCGCCCGTGCTTCTGTGAGTTAGAAATTCATGGCATTATTAATTCACCTGCAAACTTATCTAATAGTCATCTTGAGTGAGTAGGTTTTTAATAATGCCATGATGTTCTGCGACTCCTAAGTGCAAATTGTGAAATGCAACAGAACACTAGGTGTGTCGCCCGTGCTTCTGTGAGTTAGAAATTCATGGCATTATTAATTCACCTGCAAACTTATCTAATAGTCATCTTGAGTGAGTAGGTTTTTAATAATGCCATGATGTTCTGCGACTCCTAAGTGCAAATTGTGAAATGCAACAGAACACCAGGTGTGTCGCCCGTGTTTCTGTGAGTTTGAAATTCATGGCATTATTAATTCACCTGCAAACTTATCTAATAGTCATCTTGAGCGAGTAGGTTTTTGATAATGCCATGATGATCTGCGACTCCTTAAGTGCAAATTGTGAAATGCAACAGAACACTAAGTGTGTCGCCCGTGTTTCTTTGAGTTAGAAATTCATCACATTTTTAATTCACCTGTAAACTTATCTAATGGTCATCTTAAGTGAGTAGGTTTTGGGAATGGGTTTTTGACATTTTACTTCTCTTACTGACAATCGGTCATTTAGAAAATATTGTTGTTTGCAGTTACACTGGATCATAAAGGGTTGTTATTGATAATGGCATGAACTCTATGCTATTCTATTTGTCCTTTCTGTTGAGTTTTGTATCTTTTTCTGTGCATTTAGGATATGGCTGGATTCTATTGCGTTTTGCCTTAAACTGCAGGGGAATGAACAAGTGAATAGTTTTCCTTAGTATTGAAACATGTATTTATTAACCTAGTATTATCATTTTAACAACTACCAACTTTTAGATGCTCCAGAAGGCTTTGTTCAAGCAATAGCCCTTGAAGAGCAAAAAATCAACCGGAGGCACCATAAACTTTATACGTTTATGTGTCTAAAAGCTTTTCGCTGATATGAAAACTCATATCATAAAGATTTAAAAATGTAGAAACTTTTGAAATCTAATATTAAGCAATCTTGGCAGGCATAATACTTTAATACCTACAGAAAAAAATGGCGCTCCAGTTCAAAGACTCACTTGGTCCAAGAAAAACTTAATGGACTGCATCAGCGTCTAAAAATGATCTTGAGAAAATACAAAAGAAACTAAAATCTTTATTTTTAGAAAATAATTACCCAATGTACATGGACCATCTTCTTGACCTCGAAATGTATGTCGCGGAAAAAAATAAGATTCGCTCAGTAGAAAGTTTAGAACGCTCCACGCGCGGCATAGTGACCAACGCGCGACAAAGAAAACCCCTGTTGTTCAAGCAAACTCTAAGGACCTCTAAGGTCACGTCTCACATTATTACTAGTTTATAAGTCGTGTTTATTTCAAACAATTAAGAGATTTTTTCTAGACTGCTTGCAGGCCCCCTTTTTTTGCATAGACCATTTTCATGACCGCTAAATGTAAGTCTCAGTGCGGCGGAAAAAATACAATTTTAGAACGCTCGATGTGCGGCATTGGTGACCAACGCGCGACGAGGGAAAGAAGGAAAACCCCTGTTGTTCAAGCAAACTCTAAGGTCACGTCTCACAACATTACGAGTTTTTAAGTCGTGTTTATTTCAAACATTTAAGAAAGTCTTTCTAGACTGTTTGCAGCCCGCCTTTTCTCTTAAAATCTGTTTAGTTCTTATTCCAGCTAGCGAGATTGTAAACAACAACTTAAGAATAGAGAATTTACCCTGGGTGCCAGAGACTTTCCATGCCCGCGCTTTCCGTTCTCGGCCAAAGCTTTTCAGTGAAATCAGTGAAGGTCGAGACGCCCGCATTTAGCAGTTCGCGGCTTTGTAAAGGAAAATAATAGACTGCTCGCAGTTTATAGTCGTTCAAGCAACGATGCCTTCCGTTGGCAAAATAAATATTGTACTATTAAATTTTGCGTTAACCTTCGCAAACTGACTAAAGAATTCTATGTAAGATTTGGTGTCGGAATAATTGTTACGGCGTGCATTTAGTTTTCCTCGCTTTTAGCCAAATATTTCACTCACAAGAAAAATAGTTTTTAACTCGGCATTTGCAGCTCACACGCCAAATTGTTCACGCGTTTTACTCGCCGTTTGTCGCGGCTTGCTTTGAAAGGTCCCACGAGTTTTTTTCTGTGTTTCCATTGAGTGCAATGAATCAAATTTCTAATTAATTTGGTTAAGTTGTCAAACGATGAGTTGTAAATAAAATGAAACATTCAGTCGTGATGATTTAGAGAGGATCGTATTCTATGAGTTGTCAACACGTCTTTTGTTTTACATTGCGCAATCGGTCATTTCAGATGACCGACTTCGCCGGTCTCTAAGTCTTGCGGATCCTCATGTAAAGGTCCTCACACGTCACTAAATACACGAAGCGAATTGGACAATATGCCTACTAAATATTGCTTACTACTTGGAGCTTATTATTTTTATATCCCACTAACACATCTTAAATTTTTTTAAAATTCCCTGGAGTGCACATTTCCCCTGTTATATAGTTAATTTGCTAGGGATGACCATTGCAAGATGATACAAATTAAGTTCCTCTATGTTTCATTCGATTTCATACCCCGACAAAAGTTAAACAAAACAAAACAAAACCTTTCTCATTGCTCGTGCGCAATGATTTGTCCTAAACCATATACAGTAACAGGCACTAGTCTTTGGGAAGCGTTATTCAAGCTCCAAGTTTTGTGTAAGACATCATTCTAGGCTTATTTAGTCTTTTTTATTTATTTATTTTTTATTCTAGGTGGTCATATGGAGTAGTTATGTGGGAAATTGCAACATTAGGTAATGGTCTAACTTATACTTACTTCGTCGTCCGCGTAGCTAAGCTATGTTTGAGGGTGTGGGTGTTTTTTTATTTTTTTTAGGAAGTGGGGTGCCACTAAGCGGCGCTCTTTCGCCCCATTCTCGTCGCGCTCCCCTTCGATGCCCCTCCCCAACTGTTCCAACCGCCCGCTACCGTCGGGCTACTAAGGCTCCATCTGGCTTAATAAGTGTCTAGTAATCAAAAAAGTAAGTAGTCAGTACAACGTTTTTATATGGAACTTTATACCACAATCGTCTTGTAACGCCAGGATGGTTGAGCTCAATCGTCCAATGATAAAAAGAGTAATGGACCAATAAACTACAACTGCCGAACAACTGGCGAATGGTTTTGAAGAAATTCTACGTGAGAGGGGCTGGTAAGGAAGAAAGATAGGAGACTAAAGAGGTTCCTTCATTATTCATAAACTTTCAGTTAAATTTACTGACTTTCACGATGCAAAAACCTTGAATAATTCTGTGACTTTTGTAAGCCTAATGGAAGCATCTCACTATATCTCCGCTTATTCATAAAAATACTCGAGACTAAGAATTAGTGTTAAAAGTAATCATATGTGGCGACCCCCTCTTTTTTGTTGCAGGAGGTTCGCCTTATCCATTGCTTAACAACGCTGAGGTCATGAATCTCCTCAGAACAGGGCACCGAATGGAAAAACCCGACTTGTGCTCGGACAACTTGTAAGCCATTAGAATTCTTAAGCATCAATAAAAAGTCCCATATTAACTTAAAGAACATTGTTCCTTCGTAGTATAATTTTTAACTAGTAACAAAAAGATTTATAGTTTTCATTCGAAATGACATAATTTTCCCCGCGAACTACGAAGCTAAAATAGGTTCCAAATACCTTTGATCAGAAAAGGTCCATGTATGAAAATTTACAGATTGTGCGAAAAAAAAAAAAAAAATGGCTGGACAAGACTAGCCTGCGAAAACAGCCGTCTCTCCTCGTTCCTCGCCATGCACTAGGGACATTTCTGGTGAAACGACCCCAGCGGCGAAGAGCAAGGAGAGACGGCTGTTTTCGCAGAGTAGGACATGGCATGCCCCTTAAGGTATCACTAGTGTCTGTTAACTACAGCAACCCATTGCCATCCAATCTTGTAAAAACGGGCGGGCCTTAAAAAAAAAATCCGACAAACCCCTCTGGGATTGGTATCTGATCCATCCTTAGTCATCTGAGGGTTATTTTTGTTATCTGTTAGTTACGCCTTTATGATGGAGTGCTGGAAACAGAACCCGGATGAACGACCAAGTTTTCAGGAGCTGGTTGAAAGGCTGGAGAGAACCATGACTGAGCACGTAGAATACCTTGATCTGAAACAGTTGGACGAGACTAGAGCGTACTATCAAGTGCAAGAGTCCAAAACGGGTGAAATAGGTGGCGACAGCGGGCTTGAGCAGAGGGCTGTTTCGTCCATTTCAATCGCTGTTTAGGTTAGACCTACATGTACCAACTTAAGGCTGCAGCCTGACGAAAGTTCTAGTTCATAACATAAAGTCAGTTTGTTTGGTTAAAAACATAGCCGACTTTTAATTAAGAGTCGTTCCTTGCAAAATTAGATAGCTCGTTAAAGCAGTACGACTGAATTGATTTTAGAAAGTTACTTTATGTCCTAACATGGCTTAAAACATAGCTTTTATCTAAAATAGCAGCTTTTTACTTTCAACGAAATACCCGAAAGTGTTTAAGAGAGTAAAAGGCTTGGAAGTGCATTATAGAATCCTGCTACTGGTTTGAATTTCAATAACAACGGTTTAGTTTGTACAAGTTACTCATTAGAGAAGCTATCAAACGCTTTTCCTTTTCTTGCAAATATTGCTATCATTTATTCAGCTTTAACTCAAATTTGGCAAAGTTAACCTTAAATTGTGTGGAACGACATAACTTAAAACTAAGAAATAAAAGCAGTCTTAACCAACTGAGCATGTCTTACTGTGTGTATAAAAAACATTTGAATCAAATTCTTTAAAGCCGTAGAAACATGCTACACAAGAAAATATTTAGTCACAGAAACGTACTTTAGGCTTTTAATTTTGATAATAATATGTCACGTATGATTTCAAATGAGATAAGAACAAAAAAGTGGCACTATTCAGACCCGGCGGGTGGGGGGTTTTGAAACAATAGAAGACAACACTTTGTTGTGATTTTGTTAAAAATGTCATCTATTCTTTCCCCAAACTGGGACACAAAATCGCGATTTCTCAATTTGGTACAACTGTGGCATAAAGCATTGCCGTAAGGTGCGATCTACCAAATAAAAAACAACCCTCCTAAACTTTCATCATTTCAAAATGTCTCTGTAAATTTTTTTTTAAATCTCCTCGAAAGATATATGCGTTTTGAAAGATGTGGCACAAGCAAAATTTTGCCTCGGATTTTATTTATAGATAGGTGTCCCCCGGGGACTTAAACAACAAATAAATCCGATTGTAAGCCCCACTCTAGGTTGTATTGAGATGAATTCGATTTATTATGAAGTTTTGAAGCTTACTAAAACCAGTTAATGCAAAACTCGTATTTTGATCAGCACTGCTAGAGCTTGTTTCGAAGTTAAGCGCTTTTTAGATTTCGGTTATGAACCCCCTCGGATATGAGCCCGTCTGGTTATTTGTCCTTCTAACACCCTTACGATACAAGTCAGAAGACATCACATTATGCAGTCTTTATTTGTTGTCCCTAAAAGAGGCAAAGATATTGTACCTTTAATATAAAGGTTTTGCGAGCTATTTTAATTCATTGCGGGAACCACTGGCAGAAATTTTGCAGCTAAGAAAATTCATTCATGTGACGTTTTGTCCTCTGATTTACATTTTAACCAATAAAAACCAAATAAAATAGTTCATAAATGTACATATGCCTATATCCCCAGCCGGATTTTTGAAAACGAACCTTGTAGCGACACTCGCTGGGTTAAAGACCAAAAGACAGCTAATTTGCGTCCGATAAGCCCAGAAATTTTTCTAGCGTAGAAAAATTAAAGAAAGGGACAGAGAGCGAGGAAAATCTAGGGTTTTATAATAACAACAACAGACGGATACAGTCCGGCAGCAACACTGGGAAGCTTCATCTGAAAAATAAAGCCCTGATCTATTAAATAACATTATTATATTATTCATTCAAAATCTTTCCCCAATTCTGATTGGCTAAAAGCACACGCATAATTCACCATAACCAGTGACTGACCAAATTTGGAAGAATCTTGTGTTTAACGAGGAAATGACGTCAAAAATACAGCCCGCTATGGGTTAATTCACCGTTAACCGAGAAGATCTGGGGACGAGGTTGAGTTGTTTTGGTTGTGAAAGCGAAATTGGCGGACACTCCAGTCGTTTCAAGAGTATAAGAACTACAGCTAGAACTAGGCGAATTAATAGCTAAAAACGTAGCAAAAACAGCAAGAAGACAACTCGGAGGGCGACATCTGCTATTTGGAGAATATTTGCGGAGCTGGACAAACCTAAACGTACACTATCGAAGATGAACTTAACATATCGATGCAGGTAAGCATGTTTTAGGTATGTTTTAGAAATTATTATTATTTTGAATGAATAAAAAACCAATTAATGAATTCGGCTTTCGTAGGATATGAAGAATGAAGCAGATCTCGGAGGGTGTTGTCCACCTCGATCTGCTTAATTCTTCATATCCTACGAAAGGCGAATTCATTAATTGCTAAATTCACGTACGCGTTGTAAGATCAACACGTTTTTTTTTTTTAACCATTACACGCAATAAATTTTACAGCGTGTAAACTTTTTTAAAGCTACACATATTTTTCACGCGCGAAAAGATCGTGCCTTCTCGCGCTGTGGTCACGTGCTAAGACCACGTGATTACCGAAATAAACAAAGCGTCATTCAGTTGTTCATGGTTTGTGATTTGTGATTGGTGGAATTCCATCCTTTTGGTTGTTTAGGGCTATTATCGACTAGTTTGGTTCGAAGATTTCTTTGCTATTTCTTATTCTGGTCACTTGCGAGAATAAAACAGTGTCTGCCTCCTTCCCTCGACAAAAATTCCACTCTTTATCGCGATTTCCTTCGCCATTATCAGTTTTGTTTTTGCGGGCCAAGCTGGGCGAGCGCGCTCGATCATTGTGATTTCCATTAGCCCCAACCCCACTCAAATGATTGACAGAAATGGAGAACCCAAAATCCCTTCGAAGTTTTTAAAACACGCAGCGCGATACAACGAATTTGGCAGTAATGTTGGAAAGGACACGTTCTTTCATGATCTGGTACTGAGGGAAGGCGTTGCTTTAAGATGCCAAGGGCAACCTGCAGTGCCCCCAGGAAACAGGTACTGAATGAGGACATGAATTGTGCTTGTGTATTTAACACTTAAGGCGCGGTTCAGACGCCGAACTTTTGAAGGATAGTACCTAAAAGTACGAACGAGTGACCACGAGTGACCACGAATGACGAATACATCAAAATATTTTCCTAACGTCATAATCACGAATCACGTGATGAAGCCCCTTTATCTATTAACTACAATGTAACCTCGAATAAACCATTTCCAGGTACTGAAATACCGTAAATCCTAGTGCTATTAAGCCCCCCGATGGTCTTATTTATTTCAAACACATTTGAGCGGGGTGAGGGGAGAGGGGGGGAGGGGGGGTTGGTGCTTAAAATAGACGTGGGGGGTATTTGAGAGGGGGGACTTATTTAACTTAGTAACGACGATGGTATCAGATCTCCATAAAAAAAACTATAGTCTATTTAAGATATTTTAGTGATAACATGACTTTGTAGAAATCGAAAACGTCATTGTATATACTTGTGTTTTGCTTTGAAATGTAAACCAAGCGATATACAATATGAAGGTGCTAATTATCAGGCAAATGGTTTTGCTTTGAAAGAGTTAGATTGGGTGTTCAGTTTAGGTTTCCTTTTTGATAATCAGTACCTTTTACACTTCATATTGTGTTACACTTCATACTGCATTTCTCTCTTTTAATCACATGCAACTAAACTTTCGTACGCAACTCCCTATATAATGAACTCAAGGAACTAAAAAATATAACAATTTGAAAATGATAACATGGAGTCATTGAAACGTCATTCATTGCTATCGCTAATTTTTATTCTCAATTTCTTTTCTAAAACCTCTGTTATTAGAAATGTAAACCTCTATTCGTATTATAGAGTTAAGATTTTTCGTTCTCTATTTTTCCTTTTTGTTATTCTAAGTTGTTGTTTTTTTTTTTGCGAATGAGGGTTAGACGGGGGAGTCGGGTAACCTTTGGGGCCGGTCATTTGATGCCATCAATTTTTGTGTTATTTTGATTCAAAATCGGTTATAAAACGGTACTAATATTGGATATGATTCATTCAAGTTGACTGCATCTAGGGTGACCAGATATGAAGCACAACCCATTGACGCGAATGTGACGACTAGTTACTTCGCCCACCAGGTACAGTATGTTGCCCAGTATCCGGACGGTACCAGTATCCGGACACTTAAAACAAAAACTCAACTTTTTGAGGCGCCCTTTTCAGTTATCGGTAAACGAAGTATTTCGAATGAAAGCTAAACATTTCAGCTTTAATATGAAGGTTTTGGCGAGTTGAAAGCTTGCGAAACAGTCGCAGAAGACGCCGTTCTGTTCAGGTGAATAAACATTTCATGGCTAATATTTACGCTGTTTACTGTGCAGTAAAATTAGTGATGCTCAGAAAAGTGTAGGTAATATGTGATGTTTTCCAAGAAATGTTTTTATATTTAAAGTGAAGATACTTAAAGAGGTCAGGTTCTCAGAAAGATTATTATTTCCTCTTGAAATTCGATTTGTTTGGAATGACGGAGCCCAGAAACATTCACTAAGTATTGATGACAGGTGCCCAGTATCTCCGGACAGTTTTTTTCTTTGCAGTACAGAATCGATGAATTAGCTGTGTACATAATATCTTTAACTATAATCAAAGCCTAGGATATATGATATAACTGTGAAAGGTTATATAGTTGTAAAATGTAATTCTACTCAACTCCGTACGGAAATTTTCTTCAGTAATTCGGAGGCGACTTGATTTCGTGTGGGCCACTAACTTCACCTGACTGCATTTTCTATATATATAACCGAAAGCATACTTTCCCCAGTTGTGACTGCTAGAATGGGGTGGCAACGGTCTGAAAAATGTCACAAAGGGATTGAGAGAGGAATTAGTGCTAGAGAAGCAGGCTTATTGTAGGGTCCTGCAGGGACTGAGCATGAAGAAATCAACACTGCAGGTCAGACTAAATAGGAGAATGACCGTCTTCAGCATGTTCACGGATGTCTTCCTTAAATCAGTGAAAAAGTTCCTAGACAAGGAAGTAACAATTACGCCATTTAACAACCGCTCGCGTTCCCCACCATACCCCAGTCATTTGTTATGTTTTATTTCACGATTCTAGGTTAAATTTTTGAAATCGATTGCCAGACTACTTTGCAAGTGC